TAATTTGGCCCTGGGCCCACCTGCAGCAATGAGTCCTTTTTGAGATTTAAATTAAGAGGTGATGGATTGACAATTGTCCTTTTCTAGAAGGACAAGACAAATTTACATGGCTATAGAACACTTTCTAACAGGCTTCTGCAGTTTGGGTCAGATTTTCTAGGTTATATTTGGTTTTGTGGATAAGAAAAACCTTAAAATCAAAGATGTATGCTATTAATTTTCCTACCCAACACAAGGTATAGAATTTGCATCTTCTTTCTCAGATTCTTGAAACAGTCCCCAGATGGGTTCTTTGATTTCACTCTGACTTTAACTTACAACTTACATGATCATCAACTTCCACAGTTGTCACTGTGCTGCTACTGGGCTTTGTGAAAATGGCAGGAGATTCTTTTCTCCATTGCTTACTATATGCTAACTACCATTTAGATTCCTAAGAGCTGTGGTTAACACTGTGGTTACAGCACTTGGCTGCTAACCAAAAGATTGGTGGTTTGAACCCAGCACCAAGTTCATCTGGGAAAAAAAGGCAGTCTGCTTCCAAAAAGATTTACAGCCTTGCAATCTCCAGAAGGCAGTTCTACTCAGTCCTATATGCTTGCTATGTGTCAGAATCAACTTGGTGTCACCGAGTTTGGGTTTTGGTTTTTGTTTATATTTTGCAAAACAAGTTCTTTCATAGAGGAAATTCTGAAAGAAAAATCAACATTTAAAGTATTCATTACTTTGGAAAATCAACAGCTGACTTACATAAAAATGTTAAGTATCCTTGAGCTATGAACTGCTAATCCTTGGTACATAAAAGAAAGGAGATATTCAGATTCATAACCTTAAAAAAAGAGTTATTTTAATCATTGTTTCCACTGGTGTGTCCCATACCAATAACCACACCACTGTGTTATTATATTCTTCTACTCATCAGTAGGAGCTCTGGTAGCATAGTGCCTAAGGCACTTGACTGCTAACCAGAAGGCTGGCGGTTCAAAAAAACCCACCAGCCACTCCTCGGAAGGAAGGTTGGGCATTCCTACTTCTGTAGTGATACTGCCTCGGAAACCCAAGAAGGGGTCGCTATGAGTCAGGGCCGACTCGATGGCAAATAACAACAACAACAACAATTCACCAGTAGAAATTTTTAAAGGCAGCTCTTCAAACCATTTGCCACCTACTCAGTAACTAAGAGCTCTGGTGGTATAGTGCCTAAGGCTAATCAGAAGGCTGGTGGTTCAAACCTACCAGCCGCTCCTCAGAAGGAAGACTGGGCAATCTACTTCCATAGTGATACCACCTTGCAAACCCAAGGAGGGGTCACTATGAGTCGAATCTGACTAGATGGCAGTGAGTTTGGCTTTCTGGTTTTCAGTAACTAACAATTCCTAAAGGTAATTTATTTCCTTTCTTTTGTGAAGGTTTCTCCATGGTGAATAACAAAATGTTTTAGTGTACATATTTAAGTTGTAGTCCTAGTTTGCTACTATTTAGCTCAGATAAGTTTAAGTCTTGGTTTCCTCATATATAAAATGAAAGATTAGAGTCTAAAATTCTCCAAATTACCTTTCACCGCTCACACCCCCCAACCATAGTGCTATGAAAAGATTACAGAGCTAAATAAATAGATCTGGCTTCAAATCCTGATACATGCAAGTTGCCTGGCACTGGGCAAATTACTTACCCTTAGAGACTTTGTTACCGTGGTACAGTGAATTACTTACTATGACCAGTTCTAGTCATAATCTCCACCAAAAGACTGGGTGGAGCCATGCAAATGAGGTGTTTGTGGCCCACCAAAGGGACTGGATAGCTTGCTAATGATGTAAAAAAGATGCATGGCACCCTTGTGAGGGTGGGATCATGCAAATAAGGTGTATGGAACTCTAATGAAGGGATTGGTCAGTTTTACCATCACACTAGTCTTAGAGCCAATTCCAAAGAAAAAAGAGCAGAAGTGGAACATGTCCTTCGGACCCAGGGTTCCTGCACTAGGAACCTACTCAACCCAGAAAACAGAGAGTTATAACACTGGAGACTGACAGAAGCTGTGGTGGGGAATCAGTGGCAGAACCAGGGGTCCAGCAAGAGACAGTGTAGTGGGCTTTGCAGCCCACAAGTCAGAAAGCTGAACGCCTTTGGGCAGGAGGCTTCCTGGGAGAGTAGGATGCCTCTAGGCACTTAACAGCAGAACTGAAAGATTTTTTTTTTTCCCAAATGATACTTGCCCAAGCAGAGCAGAGGCCAGGCTGAGGGGCTCAGGGCCAAAGAGAGAACTGACTACAGTCATGGCTAAGAGGCTGTTCTGGTCAAAACTATATCCTGAATCTTTCCTGATGCTGTTGCTCCCCTAATAAGCCCCACAACTCTGAGTATGCTCTGTGAGTTCTGTGTGGCCATTGCAACAAATTACAGAACCCAGCAGAGAAGTAGAGTGTGGGTGCAATGGTTGGTGTCAGATTGGGTAAAAAGGTTGGAGGACAGAAATATGTCTGAATCCCACTTGACAGAAATCAGCCTTAGGCTTTTGATCTTGACTATCTTTCCCCCATTAAGTTGGAGGTGGTGAGATGTCTCCCCAACCAGGTCATTTTTATAGGTACCTACCTGTGGTAATCAACAAAATACAAATAATGCATTAAAAAGTCTAACATAATACCAAACACCAAACTCACTGCCATCGAGCAGTTTCTGACTGATAAGAACCCCCTTTGAGTTTCCAAGGCAGTAAATCTTTACAGATATAAACTGCCCCATCTTCCTCCGTAGAGGTGGGTTTGAACTGCCAACCTTCTGCTTAGCAGTCAAATGCCATAGGCACCACACCACCAGAGCTCCTTTAAACCCTCAATAAATGGCCAGTTATCACTTAACAGCAAATTTTCAGCCTTAACAGTTCTAAATAATTCTTTAACCTAAATCAACTTCTTGACTAGCCAGGATTTAAAAAGAAATTTTTTTTTTAAGGTAATTTCATCCAAATACACTTTAAGAGTGCATGCAGTATGACAACTCAGAACCGGCAAATAATGTATTCAATGGTGTACACAGCCTTAACAAGTGTTATACACATTGTGCATGCATGCACCCTCACTATACAAAACAAATGAATCCTCATAAAATATGAAGAACAATCTTTCTACAATTATTCATGACCAAAGAGGCCCTGACATCATGCTAATGGATCTCAATCTTTTAAATCAATGCTTCCACTTCTTTACCATTTTTGCAGGTCAGAGTTCCAACTACTGCTAAGCAACTTAATAGAAGGTAATATAACTACATGAGTAGCTTATACAAAGAAGAAAGTGAGATGTGCTTCTCCCCACCCTTGAAATTTCAAGAGACCGTGAGGAAGAAAAGGCAGCAGGAGTGCTCAATTATAATGACAATATGTAAATAATCATACAGCAAAACTTTTCTGTAAAACAGCCAACCAGAGAAACACTAGAACAAAAAGTAGTAAACCCACTGAAACCAAACCCACTGCTATCAGGTCCTTCTGACTCATCACCACCCTCAGGACAAAGAACAGCCCCATAGGGCTTCCAAGGCTGTAAATCATCACAAAAGTAGACTGCCACATCTTTCTCCCCTGAAGCTTCTAGTTAGCAGCCAAATGCTTTAACAACTGCACCATCAGTGCTCCTCAAAAAGTTGTTATTAGGTGCCGTCGAGTCATCTCCCACTCATAGTAACCTGATACACAGCAGAATGAAACACAGCCAGGTCTTGTGCCGTCTCCATGATTCTTGCTATACTTGAGCCCATTGTTGTAGCCTCTGTGTCAATCCATCTTGTTGAGGGTCTTCCCCTCTTTCACTGACCCTCCACTTTACCAAGCATGATATCCTTCTCCAGGGAACGGTCCCTCCTTACAACGTGACCAAAGTAGGTGAGACGCAATCTGGCCATTCTTGCTCCCAAGGAGCATTATGGCTGCACTTCTTCCAGGACAGATTTGTTATTTCTTTTTGCAGTCCATGGTACTTTCAGTACTCTTCACCAACACCACGACTCAAAAGCATTAACTCTTCTTCAGTCTCACATGCATATGAGGTGACTGAAAATACCATGGCTTGTGCCAAGTGCACCTTTGTCTTCAAGGAGACATCTTTGCTGTTCAGCACCTGAAAGAGGTCTTTTGCAGCTGCTTTGCCCAGTGATATATGTCTAATATCTTGACTGCTGCTTCCATTGGTGTTGATTGTAGAACCAAGTAATATGAAGTCTCTGACAACTTCAATCTTTTCTCCATTTATTGTGATGCTGCTTATAGGTCCAGTTGTGAGGCTTTTTGTTTTCTTTATACTTAGGTGTAATCCATACTACAGATTGTATTCTTCAATCTTCATCAGTAAGCAATAAGACTTATTAACTGTAACATTCAATATCGAGTCAAATATAACAATTCCTTCAAATATAAAATCGTAACCCTCTAATGTATTTGTCAATTCTGGTATGTGTTCTCTCTGAGAATAAGTAAGAGTTAAAATCACTACACATCTGAAGATTATGCAGGAAATAACATTGTTTCTGGAATTGAAAACCAGTATACTTGCTCAATCTCGCTTAAATTTAAAATCCTCTTTTAGTTTTAACACACACGAATCTTTTAAACACACTTTTTTACATCGTAATCAAGGCGTGTGGAAACATAATCAGGTCTTTTCTCACATGACACTAATAAACTTCAAAATATCCTCAAAGGTTCTCCTAGATGTACTGCTCCAGCTTTTACCGAGTCACTTACGTGAAAAGATTCCAAAATTATGAAAACAAAATTTATACAGTAAGGACTTATAAAGGCTCTATTAATTGTAAAGCCAAGTCACCGCCCAAAAGGTGGTTTCCCCTAAGCTTCCTGCAAAGTAAAGCCTATAAAAGCTTAACAGTTCTCTGGCTGAGTTTCTCCGGGCCACCAGCAAGTATGAGCAATCCAGGCCAGCGATGTTTCCCAAGTCACCGCTGGCTGGTCCAATGGATAAGGTTAGAAAGGCTGATTCACATACCTGGAGGAAGCTGAAAATTAGCAGGCAACAGGATTGTTGTGTTGGGGGTTTTAGCAGCGGAGACTATCTGAGGAGCAGGCAGTCTTGGGCCGCTGCTGAGTTTAGGAACAGCACTGCCAGAAGCCACTTTAGTCACCAGGGTCCCCATGGAGGCCGCCTTCTGCACGGACTGGGACGCTGTAGACCCCACGCAGACAGTGGCGGAAGCCTTAGTCACTGCACTCAGGGCCACCGGAGCGTTATCCACCCGGACCGGCAAAGCCCCGGCAGGGGCCATGGTCACGATCCCAGATGCGTTCACACTGGCTTGGGAAGCGGCACCCGCCGGCTCTGAGAGGCCCGCGGGCATGCCCCCAAGTGCCTCAGCGGCAGCAGCGGGACCACCAATCCCGGAACAGAGGCGAGGAGAGACTTTGCAAGCGGCAGCCGGCTCCAGGGCAGTTCCGGCTCCACAGCATCGCTAAGGAGAGGTGCAGGGGCCGCGACGGAGAAGTCAGGGACCGGCGCTGCTTGGGCAGCAGGACCCGCGCCTCCTGGACCTTCCTCCCCTAGAGCGGACGCCTCAGGACTCGCGCGGACACGCCAGCAACAACACCTGCTCGGCCGCTGGCCGCTTTCTTAGAGGCACTCCCACGTGGGATGGCTCAGTCCGGTGCCTCAGCCACGGCTCTCCGCTGCAGCTGAGCCCAGCCGCGCAGCTTCCGGAAGGGCGTCCCCTCTGCTCCCACCTCCAAGCCTAATTCTGGCCCCCGCTTCCACAGACAGAAACTTGAAAACTAGAAAGCCCCGGAGAGCCCTTGCGCGCACCCAGCTTTGCCCAAACGCGCGACCACGCCAGCCATGTTTATATAGCCACGCGGAGACCTCACGCACGCGCTCTGACCACCGACACCGCCCCGGGCTTTCCCCGGAATTTGACAATCTGATTGGCCACGGAGCGGAATCGCGTTCGTGACGTCACTAGGGACGGCTCTGGATAGCGTTAGAATCTTCCGCGAATCGGGAAGGAAGAGTGGCGAGTTGCCAAAATCCAAGCACGTGGGAGGTTTAACTGCATATGGAAAACTGCGGCGTCCGAGCTCTTTTTCTTGGTCCCCTGGGTTGTGTGTTCCTTGAAAAATTGGGACTAAATTTTCCCCAGGCTTTTAGTTTTTAGAGAAAAAATGTGGAGGAGATTTGGGAGAAGGATCATTCAATAAGCTATCAGTGCTTCTCTGCGTGCTTTACTATAAAACGTCGTTAAATTAGCATTACAATTGACTGAAATATTTAAGAACGATGTATGATTTTATAGTCTACATCAGATTCTACCACTTAAATCATAAATTAAATCCTGGGTATTCATTGAGTAAGTCAGCAATGTCTGTTGAATTAACAGTACAGTCCAATTTGGAAAAATTTGCCAGTTATCTAGCTAGAGAAGATGCCGGATATCAGGCCACTGCCATGTATTTTTCAGGAACACAAACTGTGCTAAAGGAGATTTTGCAGGTAGGCAGACAACCTGACGTTCACAGCTCCTAGATTTCTCCTTCCCTGTAAACGCCAATTGACAGGGTTTACTTTTTTTTACAACCTTTGCTGTTTCCCACTCAAAACATCAGTCCAAATCAGGAGCCCATCTTTCATGACCAAAATCAATAGCAACCTCTTACATTCCACACTTAGGAGCTCTGATAGCATAGTGCCTAAGGCATTTGACTGCTAACCAGAAGGCTGGGGCTTCAAACCCACCAGCCACTCCTGGAAAGGAAGGTTGGGCAATCTACTTCGGTAGTGATACCACCTCAGAAATCCAAGGAGGGGTCTTTATGAGTCAGGGCCAACTGGACGTCACATAACAACAACAACAACATTCCATACTTCCCTTACCTGATCATTTACTTCTAGCAAACTTCTTCAAGTGGAACTGGGGAGAGGAAAGCTAAATTTATCGAGTACCTGTTGTGTATTGGTCACTAAGATCCATTTCCTTCTTTATTTGTAAACAACAACTTCATTTTACTGATATAAGAACTGCAGTCAAAAGAAATAATCTATCCAAGAAGTTGGGATTCAAACTGCTTTATATGATGCCAAAGTTTATCTCTCTTAACTGCTCCACAAATGTCTGATTTATCATATAATCCATACTGCTTCTGGCAAAATGCCTTGCACATAAAAGGTATTTAATAAATATTTGCTAAATGAATTAATTGGAGACATGTAACATTTGTAGTGAAGCAAAATAGGTATTGCCTGGACAAATTGTTGCGCCTTGCTTTTTTTCTCTCCATATAATGTGATTTTATAAATACTTGTGGAAGGAAGGTTCAAAGTTTGCTTCAAGGATTCTACGTTTCTAAATTTCTAGTATAGACCCTAAAACCCCCCAAAAAAATCAAACTCACTGCCATCGTCAGATCCCACTCATCGCAACCCCTCCTTGGGTTTCTGAGGAGGTATCACTATCGAAGTAGATTGCCCAACCTTCCTTCCAAGGAGTGGCTCATGGTTTTGAACCACTAGCCTTTCTGGTTAGCAGTCAAATGCCTTAGGCACTATGCCACAAGAGCTCCTCATTTTCATTAACCCAGTTGTCATGAAGTAGATTCCAACACATGGCAACCCCACGCATGTCAGAGTAGATCGGTGCCCCATGGGTTTGTAGTAGCTGATTTTTCAGAAGTAGATTACCAGGCCTTTCTTCCCATGCACCTCTGGGTGGACTCTAAGACCAACCTTTTCATTATCAGCTGATTGTTTTAACCCTACATGCCACCCAAGGACTCCATACACTCACTCCTTGCTTATCAGCATGGTTAGGTTCCAAAGACCAGGGTGCTATTAGAAAATTGGCATTCATTATGTGAAAATAAAGGATGACCACATCGGATTACAAAATGGAGGATGACTATATTATTACATAACTGCCAAATTACATCATTGTATAAGTGTCAAACCACTGAAAATCATGGCCAAGTTGACATAAAACCTTAACCATCACAAGCAGTGCTACTCTTGCCTCATACCTTGCCTTGTACCTAGGCATTTGTTAATGCCAGGTGTACATCATTAATGTGCAAAATAGTCAGGTAGTAGATTTTTTCACTATTGTCATAAATTTGAAATGTTGGATAATGAGATAGTCAATAACTGAGGAGCAGTGTACTTTCTTTCTAAACCTACCCTTTGCCATTGAGTCAATTCTGACTCCTAGTTATCCTATAGAAGAGAGTAGACCTGCCCCATAGGGTTTCCAAGGCTGTAAATTTTTACAGTAGACTGCTCATTTATGTCTTGCAAAGCAGCTGGTGGGTTCAAACTGCCAACTTTTCTGTTAGCAACTGAGTGCTTAATCACTGCACCACCAGGGCTTGCATACTTTCTTTAGGTATGTATAATTAACCTCAATCAAATTACAAAGAGGCTTGGCTTAGAAACCATACTTTCTCTTTAAAGTGACCTTGCATGCTTTCCATATAACTGTTTATGCTTGCTTTATAATTTATCTCACTGATAGGAATTTTAATTTAATAATTTCAAAAAGCATACTCTTCCCTGCCCATCATGGTAACCATCACTGTCAGAATTTGGAGTTTAGAAATTACTATGTTTAAATTTCCTTCCGTTGTTGTTAGGTCAACAAGTTCCATTCCAACTCATTCCATCCCTATGTACATCCATCAAGTCCGTTCCAACTCATCCCTATGTACAACAGAACAAAACACTGCCAGTTCTAAGCCATCTTCACAACCATTGCTATGGTTGAGCCCATTATCCCAGTCACTTGCTGAAGAACTTCCTCTTTTTCACTGACCCAATATTTTCCTAAGCATGATGTTGAAACTTAATGAAACAGAATCCTGGGGTGGGGAGAGAAAATAATGCATTTTAACTCTGTATTCATGTAAGAAAAAAAAAAAAAAAAACAGAGGGAGAAGATAATGATTTTATTTATTATATTTATCTTTTAAAATATTGTAAAATTAAATATCTTGAATAAAATATTGATTGATGTTCTAAATGTGAGACTAAGCCATTAAATGTCCAAACATCCTGTTCAATTCAAGTAATGAAACAAAACAATTAAACAAATGTCTTAGGCTGGGTTCTCTAGAGAAGCAAAATCAATGTACCTTATACAGAGAGCAAGAGTGAGCAATTTATCTCAAGGAAATGGCTCACACAGTTGTAGAGGCTGGCAATTATCAAGACCATGGGTCAACATATATAGGGTTGGTAGACAATGTTTATACAAGTGTATTTATATGGTCTGTAAGAATTTCCAAGTATATAGTAGAGTTGACAAGGGACAAGTTTGTAGTCACTTCTTGGCCATAGCAAGCTACCCAAAGGGAGCAAGTAGTTGAACCTGCGGGCTCAGGACCATGGTTGTAGGGAACATCAAGCTCAATTGGCATAACCTACTACACAAAAACATTCCACATCCTACTTTGGCGAGTAGTGACTGGGATCTTAAAAGATTGCAAGCAGCCATCTAGATGCAACGATGGGTCGGTTTTTCCTTGGCCAGAGCAAAGAAGAATGAAGAAAACCAAAGATGCATGGAAACAATTAGTCCAAGTGACTATTATACCATGTGATCCTCAGCCTATATGACTCTGAGACTAGAAGAACTAGATGTTGCCCAGCTACCACTGTCAACCACTCAGAGGGGGAATCTATGTAAGAGATCATGAATAGAGTGGGAGAACAATGTGGAACAAAACTCAAAATCATTAAAAAAAAAAAAAAAAGACCAGGTATGCTGGTCTGATAGAGCCTGGTGGAACACCTGAGACTATGACCCCTAGCTGCCTTTCAAGTCTCGAATTGAACCCACTTCTGTGGCTTCTAGTCAAACAAAAGACAGGCATGTGAGCTGACATTTATATTAAGTAGTTACACTCCTTGAAGAGATCAATCATGGGAAAATAGAAGGGCTATGTACACACAGGGAGACAGTTCATGGGGCAGGAATGCATGAGAAGGAAGGAGACAGGGAGGAGGTGGCTATGGGGAGGAAGTGGGAAGAGAGCTGTTGCACTGTGAGAGATTGCAGTCGACGTCACGAGACAAAGTGTATGAAAACTGTTGTATGGAAGATGAATTTGCTCTATAAACTTTCACCCACATCACAATAAAATTTTTTTTAAAAAAAGACCATAGGTCAAGCTGGAGACTTCTCCTGACTCACACTACTTCAGGGGTTGATGAACCCAAGATCAGCAAGCAATACAGCGTGCTGATGGCTTCAGAGGTTGATGAATCCAAGATTGGCAGGTAAAATGGCAGGCTGATGTTTTACAGCCTGTGAAGGCAACAATCCCAACAGGCAATACAGGAGGCCACTGGTTCAAGTCCAGA